GAAATTCTAGAGGAACGGAACAAAGTAGGAGCAATAGGTTCAGAGGGAAGGTCTTGAGACTTATTGAGGTCGTTGGAGTGACCAGATCAGCAACTGGAGGCAGAGTAGAAGGGAGATGGAGACTGAAGAAGGTCGTTGCTTCCTGAAGTAGGTTTGAAGTTGTTGCGGAGGTGACAAAGGAATATTTGATGTACCTGCAGAATCAAAACTATGCATCAAGGAAACAGGAGCTGGGAACTTCACAATATGTTCAAAAAATGACACACTTTCAAGAAAAACTACATTACGAGAAATTCGAAAATGGTGAACCAAAGGGTCATAGCAAAGATACCTTTTATGTTCAGAGCTATACCCCATAAAGGCGCATAAAGCTGCTTGTGTAGTTAACTTTGTGCGTTCATGGGATGGAAGGTGGACAAAATAAGCACATCCGAATACTCTGAGCATGGATAAGTCTGGGGATTTGTGGAAGAGGGATTGAAAATGAGAGTTGTTCAAAATTGATGATGGAAGACAATTTATGAGATACACAGCAGTGCTAGCCGCCTCCACCCAAAACCAAGAGGGTACGTGGGAATTTTGTAGAAGAGTTCTAACTACACTCAAGATATGCCCATTTTTCCTTTCTACAACCACGTTTTGTTGTGAGTTGCCTAGACAGGACCTTTGGGTTTGAATTCCATGTTGTTTTAAGTAGTTTTGGAAATCCCCATCAATATACTCTCCCCCTGAATTCGACCGTAGCACACAAATTTGGGCATCTAATTGAGTGGTAACATAGGTGTGGAAGTGCTAAAATACGGAGTACATTTCAAATTTCCTTCGAAGAAAGTAAGCCCAAGTGAAACGAGTGCAGTCATTAATAAAGGTTACAAAATATTTAAAACCCATCCATGAGACAACTGGAGACGACCAAACATCACTATGTATTAAATAAAAAGGGATTGTTGTATGTTCAGAATGAGAAGGAAAAAGCAAAATATGACTCTTACATAAGCCACAAGTAATGCAGTCTTTATTCACATTTTTAAGAGAAACATTAGAAACAAGTAAACTACCAAAGGAAAATAACTGATCAAGTTTCTTAGAAAAAGGATGGCCCAGTCGTTTATGCCACAACTGCCAATCTTTATTACAATTAACAAATTCAAAACTAGAAGTAGTAAAAATCAAACATGAAGTAGAAGCAGGCACAGTTTTATTCTTCTCAAATTCTAGAGCAAAGAGTCTTCCTAGTCTATGTCCCTTCCCCTTCACCTCCCCAGTTTGTCAGTCCTATATCAAGCAACCATTAGAGGTAAATGAGATATTGTTACTTTCCTCTACAAGTTGGCCAATAGAAATTAAATTGGTTGTAAGATTAGGTCAAATAGGGTTTTAGACAAATGAAACGGAGATGACTTAGTAGTAGATAAATATAAATCATCACATTCAAGTATATCTAATTTCTCACCATTAGTAGTAACAATGTGTTTATTGGGGAGATGGGGTTTAGGGCACTGACCAAGAGTGGCTCCTATCATATGGTTAAAGGCTCCTGAGTCAATGTACCATAGATGGTTCGGTGAGGGACAGTAGGTAGGAGACTTACAAAATAGGCCCATAGTAGAGAAGGCTGAAGAGATAACAAAGGACATGAGTTGTCGAATTCGTTCTTCAGACATGCTACCTGAGGAATCATTTTGCCCAGTCACAGAAGTAATTGATGATGTTGCATCTGATCCATCTACACTCGTCTGATAAGCCTTGTAGCTTCCTTTCTTCTGATTTGATCCACTGCTTTTCTAAGGCCGAGTAGGGCATTTAGTGATAATATGGCCAACCTGCTTACAATAGGTGCATGTATTCTTTTTCTTGCAGTGAGAAACAACATGCTCGAACTCCTTACATTCATAACACTGTATTTTAGAGAAGTCATTCTTCCATTTTAGTTTTGTTGCTAGAATGACAATATCAATGATAGACTCATTTCTTCCATCTAGGGTAGTCTCTATGGCAAATATGGTTTTAGCCCTCAGAATTTCCCCAAGAAGAGTATCTAAGTCAGGAAGTGTTCATCGACTCAGGATATTAGATCTAACAACTTCGAATTCAGGTCTGAGATGCATTAGGAAGTGCATTATCTTTTTTCTATCAAAATGTTCCTTCATATACTTCACACAACAGTCTGAAGGATCATTCCCCATGTGAACGAGCTCATATTCGGTCCAAAGGTTAATAAGCCCAACATAGTACTCTTGGACCTATCTTTCTCCTTGATAATAGGAGAACATGTCAACCTCTATCTGGTACTGTCTTGAGATATTTGATTGTTGATATACTTTTTCGATATACTCATACATCTCAAAGGCAGTCATGTATCCTCTCATAGAAATTGCAATGTCAGTTTCAATGGATCCTAAGATCCATGATGCAATTTTTGCATTATTAATTCTCCACTGATTAAGACCCTTGATGTCTGAATCATCTAGTTTAACTACTAATCCATCCAAATATCCCCAGAGACCTTTTGCCTCCGCATGAAATTGGAAATTGAATTTCCGAAGTGCATAATTTGTACCATTAAACTTGATGGGGAGAATTTCCATTCTTTATGATGTCATTGAATCACAAGAGCAAGAAAACCATAGAGAGAAGTGTTCAAAACAGTAGAATAAAGGAGTACCTTTCAATCAATGCCCAAAAAAGGAAACTGTAAGGATCTGTTGAACTCTGAAGTGGCTCAAAACCCTTCCAAATCAAATCCGATTCAAACCAAACCAATTGGAAACAGTAGATCTGCCCTGGGCGACACTAGATCTAAAGTTTCAGCCTAATCCAATGCTTTTAGAGGGAGATCCAATCCAAAATAGAAATTTGGTGGTGCAGCAATCCAGGAAAAGAGTCTGTCGAGTTCTGATTGAATGCAACTTCAAAAATAGGGTTCAATAACACTCAAGAGTCTCCCAAATACTGTTAGGGAGAACTCTAAATAACAGATAAGAAAGGGATGAGGAAGTAGTCACTTGCAGATCAGATCGTGACCTACTCTGATACCATGTCAGAGTTAGATCGAAAAGCTGAGAAAGAGAAAGAGAGAGAGACAACCCAGACGAATGGTGGGTGTGACAACTTGTGTCAGTCGACACCCTAAAAGAAATATTTATATTAAGTTGTAAAAGGACATATCTGCCCTTAATGTACAGTAGAGAGATAATACAAAGAATGGATAAATGAATTAACTTAATCCATATGATATATGATGATATACATCATTAACTTAATATCAGTTCCAAATATAACATTTAGGGATAGGTTAACATCTTGTACAGTTGTACCCTAAAAATTAGGGAGTATTACCCCTTTGAATCAGGCATTTAAAGCAATATGAGAAGAGGGGGTGTTCAACAACATGGTTGGTTTTGTTTTTGAATCATGATAGTACATATCTGTGGCCATAAATGGATAAATGGATTAACTTTATGAAACGAAATTTTCATTCTTTAATTCCAATATTTCTATGAAAATATGAAAAGCTTTGTCCTCCTTCCATGAGAAAATTATGCCAAATCATCATTGTGCCCCGTGTTGCTTTTCTGTCCTTAAGCTTAACTTTGTAACTAGGTTACAGGGCATTTCTCACCTCTTTCCAACTTATGAAGCAAGTAGGGCTGTAAATGGGTCAAATCGAATAGGTTAGTAGATCCAAATTTGTTTTTTTTTTAATCCAATTCAAATCAGATCTTATCCGTTGGATTTATATCGAATTTGAATTATAATCAAATCTTGAATACTAGTATAAATAAATTAAACTAAATATGAGCAATATATTATGTATTATCAATAAAACAAATAAAAAAGACTTTTATATAGTATATCATGAACAAAATGAATCTAAAATTATTTGCATGAAACTTGTTCTATGAAAATTTAATAAAAACATAAAATTCAAATTACAATATAAATCTTCAAGTACATATGTTTATAACTTAAATCATATAGAAACTTGTTCTATAAAACTTATCATATCGAAATAAATTTTATCGGATTGGATAATGTTGGATCATTTTTTAAACTGATGGATCGATATTTTATCTACTTATAAATGGATCAAATTTATAAATGCCTTACTTCAAAGAGATTCCAATTGTTTGGTTGAGTGGAATCAGAATCCCATTTTCATTCCTCGGGGAATGGCAAACTCCTATTTGAAGGAATGGTCATTCTCTTTTCCTACCTTGAGGATGAAATTGCATTTCAACTTATTCAAATTTTCACTCAATTTCCTGTCTAAATAAAAAAAAAAACTATGAAAATAGATCATTCACCAATTGACAAACTTCGATTTCAATTCCAATTATAAATCAAAGGGACCCTAAATATCAATTATACAGATTGGACAGTGATGGATCCATATTTGATCCAATTATAAATGGATCGAATTCAGAGCGAACAATCCGATACCATTTGCAGGCCTTAAAAGAAGGGGCTTTAGAATTTGGTTAAGACATCAGACATAGAAACCAAATTATTTGGTAGGTCGTGACACACGCATAACTCTTCTCCAAGATATTTTAAGGTAGCTGTTACACGTAGTAAATGACGTGGCACCGTCTAAGCCGTCAATTCCTTGCTAGGTCCTCCCCGTGAAATATTTGTTTCCTGCCTGTTACACTCAAGGACTCACAGCTAAGGACCCATTTCACTCGTAAGAAAATAGCAAACACTTACCAAAACAAATGTGGCCTGGGACAGGTCATGGTCTTGACTCGATGCCACGTCAAATAGGCCCACATCCTGCTGTATTCTTGCGTCAACAGGACTATAAAACGTCCACAACGTGATACGATGAGACCTCCACGTAAAGCTGAGTCATTCTATCAAAAAGATCGGACACATTTTCAATATAAAATATTGAATTCGGGGGAAAGAGTAAGAAAATATTTTTCTGCTGTGCCTTATCTCGGTATTGTTAATAGTTTAATATGCCAACTAATAGCTTCATCCTACCAGCTGCAGTTTTCTGGTCTCGAGTCCCCAAATGCCAACAACCTACCGTGTCCTTTCCTGTAATACAATAGTTAGAAAGGATCTAGGATTGTCAAGCCAGGACTCAGAACCTTTCCAATTCTCAAGGAAGGACTCTACTCCACTTATAAATACCTTCTTTCCAATCATCCCAACCCATCTCCCTCACTACCCCATTTTGTGTTGTGCACTTGGGCTTTGTTTTTTTTTTTTTTTTCCTAATCTTTTCTAGAGAGAATGACGGTTATCATTGAGCAGCCTGAATTTGGTATCCTTTCTGTGCTCTCTCTCTCTCTCTCTCTCTCTCTCTTCTTTTCTATTCTTGCTCTTTTCCATTCCCTTTTGCCTCTTTTGTAATCTTGCTAGGAATTTGATAGATAATGATGAGATGTTTTTGTTTCTTCAGGAGCTCAGGCAGAGAATAAGAAGATCCCCTCGAGTGATGCCAATGAATTGGTTTTGGATGGTGGTTTTGTGGCGCCTGAAACCAATTCATTTGGTCACACATTTAGGTCTGTCTCTCGTTTTACAATCCTTATACTGAGCTGATTTCTATTGTAAATGGATCTTGATTTCTGTGGAATTCAGTACCATTAGCAATTGTTTGGACACGTGGTCCGGCTCGAAACATGTGCACCAAACCTTGGACCACTTATGGTCCATAAGTGGTTCTTCGGTCTTCCCGTTCTTGGGGCTCGGAGCTCAGTACAACTCCTAAGCCCATTACTGTGTTTCGGCCTGGATAAACACAAAGTGGGCCTCTTAGGTCAATTGATTTAGCTTACCCCAAGAGCCCAATAGCAACACACTGATATCCTGCTGTTGCAGCCCCAAGAAACACCAATTCTTCCTTTTGCATTTCTTTTTAGCAGTAGATCCGGTATTGAGGACAGGTATTACAAAACTGTGATATGCCTGGCGATGTTAACTAGTAGTAGATCCGGACCCTCCCCACCCACATACACACAAATAAGAACAAAAGAGAAAAGTGAAAAGGAATACATTTGTAAGTTGGAGTCAAACAAGTGACCTCATGAAATATTTAATTGTTTGGACAAAGCTGACATATAATATATGCTCAACAGGGATTATGATGCAGAAAGTGAGAGACAGAAGACTGTGGAGGAGTTTTATCGGATGAATCACATTAACCAATCTTTTGGCTTTGTAAGCAAGCCTTGATGAAATTATTTATCGATTGCCACCATCTCCCTTCTAGTCTAATAAGTAATAACCTTTGGTCATAATTTTGACTCCATTTTACCAACTCTGGGTATTGCAGGTAAGGAAAATGAGGGAAGAATATGGCAAATTAAACAGGGTAGAAATGAGCATATGGGAATGTTGTGAACTCCTCAACGAGTTTGTTGATGAGAGTGATCCAGACCTGGATGAACCTCAGATTGAGCACCTGTTGCAGACAGCTGAGGCTATTAGGAAGGACTATCCTAATGAAGATTGGCTGCACTTGACAGGCCTTATCCATGGTATACGCCCCAACTCGAATTTCTTGGCTAAACTCTTGCTTCATAATGGAGCTTGTTCAACAGGCCCCATCAAATTCCCTGAGGAGTTGAAATCAGTCCCCCACAATAATATCGGGAGATATTCCCAATACACAGCGGGGATGTGCTGTGGGATGTTGTGGGAAACTATCTTGTAGGGGGCTGATTTGAACTCTTCCCTGAGTCCTCTTTCCCCTGTTTTTGTGTAAACTTGTCCAAGGACTGAAATTAACTAATGTATTGATGTCAGATTTAGGGAAAGTTCTTCTTCATCCTAGCTTTGGGGCTCTTCCTCAATGGGCTGTTGTAGGTAAGAAACACATCTCACTTACCCTCAATGGGCTTATTATCATCAAGTACAATTGTTTATCTCCGTTTCTTTAAGTTACCTAAATGGAATATGTGTTGCAGGTGACACATTCCCTGTTGGGTGTGCTTTCGATGAGTCAAACGTTCATTACAAGGTCCTTACTCTTACATGCACATATAGCAAATCTGTTTAGGCGTTTTAGTGTTGCAAATGCAACCAACTAGCTGACATAAATTTTTCTGAAATATTGTGGTATTGCTACAGTATTTCAAGGACAACCCAGACTACAACAATCCTGCCTACAACACTAAGTATGGAGTTTACTCAGAGGGATGCGGGCTGGACAATGTAATGATGTCCTGGGGACATGATGACTATATGTACTTGGTACTCCCTTTATGCCATTTTAACCCTTTGCATGACTCAGGTCAAGACTTGAATGCAGTTTGTTCACTTATAATCATTTTGCCCAAGAAGACAATATATGCTAACTGTAGTTTTCTGTGTAGGTGGCCAAAGAGAACAAGACAACTTTACCTTCAGCTGCACTTTTCATTATTAGATACCATTCATTTTACCGTAAGTAGTGAAGTTGTTTGTTCTTCTAATTCTCCCAAGAATAAGTAAAAAAAAAATGTTCTTTTTCTTATCAGTGTTCCTATTATAATAGAAAGCATTTGCAACTGGTTGCCTTGCAGCTTTACATAGGTGTGATGCATATAAACACCTAATGAATGAGGAGGATGTTGAGAATCTGAAGTGGCTTAAAATTTTCAAGTAATACCCCAGTCCCCAAAGCCAATTTTCTTAACATCACCTTTTTTTAACAGGGTTTACTATATTTTATTGTTTTTTAACATTTCCATTGCATGTGCAGCAAGTATGACCTTTATAGTAAGAGCAAAGTCCGAATTGATGTTGAGAAGGTCAAGCCATACTATCTGTCTCTCATTGAAAAGGTCTCTCTCTCTCTCTCTCTCTCTCTCTCTCTCTCTCTCTCTGTGTATGTTTTCTTACTAAAAGAAATGTTATTGCAGTACTTCCCGGCAAAACTGAGATGGTGAAGGTTCAGCTTTAAAGTATAATGGATACAGAAAGGCATCACACCAACTTAGCATCCAGCAGTTATGTGATTGAGTGGATAGCAAAATTTCAGTTTTCAGAGAGATTTTCCATCCTCCTATATATGGTCAAATATTGTATGGAATAATAATGTATTTGCAGTTCCAGTAAATGTATCCTTTACTTCTTAAGAATCATTCTAATGTTTCTCATACATTATTCAACTCTCTATGCTTCATTAAAATCAATAAGCAAGAGGATATTGCAGAGGTTGAGAGGAATGTAAAATAAACAAGCTTCACAATCACAAGCATTATAGTAGAAAAGTGAAATTGATTGAGAAAACAGGGTCACTACATAAGTACATATTGAGGATATACCTGACTGAGAAATTGGAAATTGAAAATTAAAAATAAAATAAAAGGTATCAGCTCATACTTTTCTCAAAAGAGTTATTGACTTGCATACATTTTCCGTCTATAAAAATCAAAGTGGTATCAAGCATATTTATGAACAAAAACTCATCGGGGACAAGTAATTAATTAGGTAGAAGGATGTGATCTTTGGGTAAGGAAAGTAGCCTGTAACCATGATTTCATCGTACAAAAGTTGAAACTAAGGTTCTTAAACTATAGATCCCATCTAAGGATTTGACCATACCTCACCAAGAACAGGCAACCAGGAAAAGGGATAACGATAGGCCGAAGGAATTAATATCTCACACCTGTGAGAGTGTGCTTTCAGAGTGAGAAAGTAGGGTAAACCCAAAACAAAATTAAGTTTGACGATTGCATACCAGTTACCCGAGCAGCTTTCTTGTCATCTTGCTGGATTCTTGGCAGCATGAGAGATGGTCACATGGGTTGCAGTCCCAATCTCCACCTGCAGAAAAATCAGAATTACCTGAGCAGTTTTCTTATCATCTTGCTGGATTCTTGACAGCATGAGAGATGGTCACATGGATTGCAGTCCCAATCTCCACCTGCAGAAAAATCAGAATGGTGAAGGCGTGGCATCAAATGGAAAGACGTAACAAATAATGAGTTCAGCATTTCTGAGCCAGTGCCTCCCGTGGACAATAATGCCAAATGGCACTTTAGCTTTAACTCTGCAACAGATGGAAATATAAACAACTGCTTCATATGGTAGTCGTTAAGATTAAAAAAAGAAGAATAGAAATTATGGCTCGAAACGCTAAAATACACAGAGAAATTGGATCTTCATATTCACATCTTCATACAGACTGAAGAGAAGGTAGGGAAGACTGGAAGAGCCACATCATTTATGAACTGAGAAAGCCAAGAGAGATAAGATCATAAGAAGCCCCATGTATTATAGAATAGACAGATAGGAATGTCCTACTCCTAGTAACACGTGGAAATCATTCGAAGCTTAGCATGCCAAAGTTACAAGACAACCAAGTCAACCAAACCTATCCCGGCTATCTAGAAGGCCTTATCCGAAAGGGAGATCCTCAACTTAAAGATCTCACTTAATTCAACTCACGAGCTCGACTGAATGAGAATGACTTCGCTAATCAATCAATAATCATTGTTAGTAAAGTTGATGGAGTTACTAGCTCTTTTTTTTTTCTTTTTGATTAGCCGAAAGCGTCGATCAGTCCAGTTTAAAGTTTAAACAGAAGAGGGAAAGGAAATACAAAAAGGGTAAACAGGTGGAATAACGGGAGTTTGCACCACAGTACTTTGACCGCAATTCCACAATGTATCAGCTGAATTGCCACGCCTAATTGCCCATTTGATTACTTTCTTCTACCGAGAGGATTGGCAAAGTTGTCCACTTGAGACATTTCATCGAGCAACTGATAAGCAAGAACTGGTGTTGAGCGAGAACGTTGCCTAAGCGGTATAAGCAAAACCATTGAGTCAACGATGGTTTAAAGTTGCCAGGGGAGATAATAAGTTACACGATGGAAAGAACAAAATGGAAAACTTGAAAAAAAAGCAATGATGGACAATAGGATGCACAAGGTATACCATTGAACTTGACCCCACATCACATCGTCTGTCCAGGCTCATTTTGGAAGGAGTACAAATACAAATATGTAGAAGGCAAAACCTTGTATTTTGTATCATTTTGCATGTATTTGTACTGTACATATTTGTATTTGTATTCTTTCCAAACTAAGCCCTAGTGACAAAATTTTCTGTAAGACCGAACACGTCACTCCTTCCCAAATGAATTTGAAACTGGTGGAGTCTAATCGAGTCCGCGTTCTGTAAACCCACCAATAAGAAGCAACCACGTTTGTAATTTGATTTTTGGGCTTTAGTTAACGGACTTTCTAGCGTTAGCAGCTGGAACCTGATTGAACCGAACACAAAAGATTTCATTCAAACTCCCTCTTCCTCCCCTCCTCTACCAAGTCCTAACCCAAAAACATCCCACATCCCATCGGCAAAGACCTGGCAAAAAGTTGAGCCAACCTGCGAACCTGACCCTACCCGACCTGAAAAAATAGGGTTAGGGTCTCATATTTAGCTACCTGAATTTGAGAGTGACCCGACCCAACCCGAAAAAAACTGGGTTGGGTCATGGGTCAACCCATTGGCTCGATTGTCAGGTCTAATTGGGACTATTTATGCATTGCTAGAAGCTTAACTCTTTAATTTTTACTATTTAATCTTTACTCTTTATTGTTTACTCTTTGAATTGTTAAACTAGATCTTGAAAAGGCCTACGACCTAGTAGATTGGGGATTTTTATTACTCGTGCTAAGGAAGTGTGGGCTTGGGGATAGATGGTGCTAATGGATAAACAATTGCCTTTCCTCTTGCCATTACTCCATCCTAATCAATGGGGTAGTTAATGGTGTCTTCCCACCTAGTAGGGGTCTGAGACAAGGTGATCCCATGTCACTTTTCCTATTTATTTTAGTTGTTGATGCTTTTAGTAGACTCCTCTCAGAAGCAAATAGGGCCGGATCTTTAAGAGGGTGGAGAATATGTAGAGATAGAATTTCAATAACTCATCTTTAATTTACAGATGACATAATAATATTTTGTGAAGGTTGTGATCTGATGGAGGTAAGGAATCTGAAGGATTTGATAATTCACTTTGAGAGAGCCTCAAATTTGAAGATAAATTTTGAGAAAAGTTGTGTTGTGGGAATACATTTGAACAGAAAGGAGATGGAGTCTATAACAGCCTTGTTAGAATGCACTTGGTCTCAGTGGCCTCTATCCTACCTAGGACTTCCCTTGGGTACAAATCCAAAGGAAAGTAGGTTATGGAACCCGATGGTGGAAAAATTCAAAAAAATATTGGCAGCTTGGAAGAGAAACTATATTTCCTTGGGGGGTAGAATTACTTTGATTAAAACAACTTTATCCAACTTGCCTTTATACTTCCTATCAGTCTTTAGAATTCCTAAAAGGGAGGCAAAGAGGTTGGAAAAACTGATGAGGGACTTCTTATGGGAACTTGGGGAAGAGAAAAAAGATCACTTGATTAGGTGAGAGGTGGTGAGTCAAAGCAAAAAAGGAGGCCTAGGCTTAAGAAATGTGGTGAGTAAAAATGAAGCTCTTTTAGGTAAGTGGCTTTGGAGGTATCCCTTAGAGAGGGAGAGGTTGTGGCATGAAGTAGTGAAGAGTATCCATGGTTGTTCTGAATCAAGTTGGGACATGGGGGATCCCGAAGGGCTTTGCTCGCAACACTTTGGAAGGCTATTTTTGGCATTCTCCCAAAGTTTCTCATATTTGTAAAGTATGATGCTTGTTCTGGAAACTCCATTCTTTTTTGGGAAGATATTTGGGTGAGCACTCAACCCTAAAAGACCATTTCCTTCTCTCTATTCCATCTCCCTCTTTAAAAAGAAACCCATTTCATGGTTTCTTCCCCCCCCCCCCCTCTGTTCGTCCTTTAGCTTTAAAGTGGGATTTTGGGTTTCGAAAGGGTTAAGGGATGAAGAACTTCGTTGTGTTGCAGAGCTCTTGTTGCTTATAGACTTGGTGTGCCTGGACACCCCTAACCCGGATAAAAGGGTTTGGTTTCTAACCTCGGTTGGCTCCTTCACTTATGCTTCTTTCTTTAAAGCCCTTTGCTCCAACCCCTCCTCTCAAGTCTTCCCTATTAAAGAGGTCTGGTTAAGGCTAATTCCTCCTAAAATAGTAGTGTTTTGTTGGGAAGCCTATTTGGGTAAGATCAATACGGTGGAAAACTTGCAAAAGAAGAAACCTTACTTGTATTTGTCCCCGAATTGGTGCTTTATGTGTAAAGTGGAGGGTGAGGACTGTAACCATTTGCTGATATCATGCTCTTTTGCTGCCAATATTTGGAACTGCGCTATTTCACTATTTGGGTGCAGGTGGAACTTGCCCTCCGAAGTAAAGTTGTTGTTCATTCCTGCTGCCTTAGGGAGATTAACGAAAAGAGGGAAACTAATGTGGAAATGTATCACAGTCGCTACCTTGTGGACGTTATGGGAGGAGAGAAATGCTAGAATATTTCAAGAAAATGAAAGAAATCTTGTTGAAATCAAGGAATGCATAATGACAAGGATAGCCTTGTGGATGAAATCTTCACAAAGAACAAATCACTTGGCAAATTACTCCTTTGACGACTTAAGGAGAAGCTGGGCAACACTGGATTCTACAATCTCCACAAAGAACAAATCACAAGCTGAATGGAAACCCCTACCGGATGGAGTGGTAAAATTGAATTTTGATGGTAGCTGCCAAGGTAACCCAGGGCCATTCGGAATAGGAGGGATCTTGAGAGACAAAGACAGCAACATGTTGTCTTTATTTTCAGGACCAATGGGTGTTGGTGATTCTGTAAGGGCAGAGATACTAGCAGCGGTACAAGGTATACAGACAGCCAGTCATCTTGGAGTGAATAATTTGATAGTAGAAGGGGATTCCAAAGTAGTAGTGGGCTGATTGACAAGTCCAGAAACAACTTGTTGGGGCTACAGGGATCTGTTAAAGAAAGTTAAATGGCTAACAAGAAATATGTCAATCAGGTTTCAGTGGGCTAGCAAATCAGCAAATGCAATGGCTGATTCTCTGGCCAAGCAAGGGGTGTCAAGGGAGATCTGTTTTGGGCCACTTTGTAACTGCGCTTTAGGCTTGTGTATGTTTAGTGTTTATGGTTCAGTCCTAGGGGAGGTAACACCTCGTGCCTCCTCCTAGGATGACTGTATTGTTGTTATTTGAATTAATAAAACTACTCTCAT